ATAAGCTAAAATGTTTGTAAGTTGTTCATGTTTCACATTATTTTTTACAGTTGTTACTTCCAAGGATTTTTTTTCACATGACTGTGAACAGTATCTGCTTTGACAACCATAATTAAGTGTGAAAAGATTATTTCCAGACTGGTTTTACACGGAAGTTGAGATGCAGAATACCCAGAAAAGTGACTGATATTTTCATCTGTAAGGCATACTGCAACTTAGTTGCTATTAGAAATAGAAAGACACGTTTAATTGACTTTAAAAAAAAAAAACAACCAGGAAAAAAATGTTGAAACACTCTAAAATCGGTCTAGCAAAGCTAAATGTTTGACAGGAGGAAGAATTCTGTGTGAAGCTTGTTGCACCATTGCAGCACAATCAAATGATGAGGCCACGTTTTGGCTACTGCTTTAGCTTGAATCAAAGCTGAGGAGGGAATTTTAAAAATATACTATCTTTTCTAGAGAGGTCCAGGATAATAATCTTTTATTAAACAGAAAAACTGCTAATTAAGATTCACATATAATAATGTAAATGAATGAATTCTTGAACGCTCAAAGTTATTGCCTTGCACTTTAACCTTTAACCCTTCCTGCTCCCCTCTTGTAGTTTTGCACTCCAGAACTATTCACCCTAACCTAGTGGCTGTCTGGTGCAGGAGTGGGATTTTTGTTTGTTTGTTTTTTTAAACTCTGGTGGTAAACTAGAGAAAGAGACTAAGTTTGTCATGAGCAACATGACTGACACTTTCTATATTGTATCTGAAATCCAACGCAATGGTATAATTATGATTCACCTCACAAAGCCATAACTGGTCTTATTGAAGTTTAGGGCTGCTTAGCCACTTAATGTTAGATTAGCTTAAAATATATAAATATATAAACAAAATATTAAATGACTTTTCAAAATCTAAAAGATTAGAGAATATTTTCACTTTAACATGTTGAAAGTAGATACTTGAATCCACAGTTGTATTAACAATTTGAGCAAATTAAAACTCCATGAATATTTGATTTATATTTGAAGTTTATGTCCATGAAAATAACGACTTGCTTGCTTAAAAAAATACAGATCATAAATCTATTTTATATTCTATGGTGTGTGTTACTTAGATAGCAATCTGATAGCTTTGGATAAAATTATGTGAGGATATTCTGGTGAGATAATAAGGGTGCTTTACTTGCCACTCTACCTTAAGGGCCTGATACAACTCACTCAAGTCCATATTATCCTTACTGGCAAGTCCTCTGAATTTTGCATCATAATGTCAATGTCATTAAAATCAAGCACTGATGTCAGCAGAACATTTTCAAGAAACATTGAATTTGAAATGTGTGTTTTTCCAGGTGGTTTCATTCCTACGCTGTGACTTTTTATAACGTAACGCAAAGATTCAATCTGAATTCCTCCATTGCTAATCAACTGATGGAGTTAATTCAGGTGGGGATGATTATGCACGTGTCTCTGTCATGGGGATGGACCTTTATCTTCTACCTGGGTTCAGATGACAGAGAGGATAAGATGAACAAGCACTGAGTGGTCCTCGGACCTTTTCAATATGAGTTGTCCAGACTTTGTGTGTGTGCGTGTGTGTGTGTATTAAACAGTTAGCACCTTTTTTTGTAATGACTGGATGTCAGAAATAGTAACACTTTTGAGTGTTATGCTGTGGCACAGAATCAGTTCATCAGCTGCTTGTTACTCGTTTCATTAATGACGTCACATTGACTGTGTTTACCTGACGAGCTTTGGTGTTGCAATATGATAGTTTAGCACTGCTTTTAACAGTGGGTATTTTATATTTTATCACACCCTTTACTATCTGTCTTCCTATGATGTGGAAAACACATATCTATCCCGCAGTGTGAGCTAACTGCAACATGTTTAGAGAGTACAGCAATACACCATATTTAGCTGATTTTGTTGGCTTGCTGATATTTTGATATCGATGTGTCTTCTCGAAATTGTATGGCTTTTTTTTCCCACTCCCCTTCTTTTATTAATTTGCTTTAAAAAAAAATGCTTTTTACATATGATGAAATCTACACAAAAAAGGTTGAGAAACTTTGTAGACCACAAACAACATTGTAGGCCTGAGTGTTGGCATACACTGTTATTTGATCCATTTTGACGATGCACATAAATTGAGCTTTTTCAGTACATGATGGCAAACAGATTGAGAGAGTCCTTTTATTATTATCTATTCAGTATGGGACAACAAGGCATATGTATGTGTGTTTGTTTCTGTATTTAGTGCACTTACTATACCATGAAATAGGCTTGAAATAGGAGTGTTGTTGGAGCTTTCTAGTTACCTGGACTGTGTGTGGTGTGACTTTTGTACCTGGGGAAACAGCAGGCTCAAGTGTCTTCCCTTTGTCAGCAATGTTATTTCCAAAACCAAGATTATTCCTTAGAAATTCCCCTAGACAGCTGAAGAAGTTTACACTTTTTATTTGGTGGTTTGTTTTGTATGCTACCTAGTTCAAAAGCAGGAAATGGCATCCAGCTCTGTTGTTGGGGTCATTGTGATGAGTTTTAAGAGATGATGTTGTAGCTCATAACTGTTTATGGTATATAGGTAACAAATTAAATGAGACTAATGATGTATTAAAGATTTCCATATCTGAAATTAAGCTGTATAGTACCTAACATTGGAGGATTCAACACCTCCTTTGAGTCTGAACTGTTACAATTTTTTCTCCCAAACTTGTTGTATTACCTGTGCATTAGTATCCCTTAACTAATTAATAAAAGTTTGTTGACTAAACATGTGTCATCTCTGTCACCTTTTAGTTACTTTTTTATAGCTATTGCAATGTGCAATGTAGTTGATGGGATTGTAGATTGTGTAAAGATAATGAAGATGGTTATATACAGACAATCAGTGGAATATAATAAACTTATTAGGGTGAATATTTTGACAAACACAAGGCTGTGAAATAAGATTAATAGTCCTTTTAGCCAAGTACAGACAATAGACTATATATATTCAAACCAACATCACACATTAAAAGGAGCCCTTAGTGCATAGGTGTCAAACTCTGGCCCGCGGGCCAAATTTGGCCCGCAGCGTAATTACATTTGGCCCGCAAAGCCATACCAAATTACTATTAGAGCTGGCCTGCTGGTATTATACAGCTAATATATATATTGTTTAGTATTAAGCTTTGCTGTTCCATATTCAGTTTTTCAGCTAAACTTGTTTGAGTCCATAAAGACTCATTCTTATATCTGGAGGAAGATTTTTTTCTTCAATAAATATTAACGTTAGCCCGCGACTTTGTTCCATTTTGAATTTTGGCCCACTGTGTATTTGAGTTTGACACCCCTGCCTTAGTGCATAAATGTTTTTTTAAATGCAGCTGAATAATTAGGGTTACAATTTTATCTAATACTTATGGAAGCCCGTTTCCGCCACTAAAAAAAAAAAAAAGCTAGTATCCATAACTCGAAATTTCGAGTTATTTTCTCGAAATTTCGAGTTATTTTCTCGAAATTTCGAGTTAGCTCTGCCAATCAAAAATATACGTGAATGAGGTCGCTTTCTTGTTACCCGGAAACATATGGCGCAGGACCGCGCACTCAAAAACGGATCCCAACAAATTAAAGTATGTTTGCTGATAGTAACACCATGCGATTCAGCTAATAACACAGGGATTTCATCATTTGTGAAGCCAGGCTGAAAACACTCAGCAATCTGTGCATTCACGACTGGATGTAATACCGGTAGCTTAGCTGTAGCATTTGTAGCTGAGGGCTTCAGCTTCCGGGTAACATGGAAATGACGTCATTCACGTAGATTACTGATTGGCAACGCTAACTCGAAATTTCGAGTTGCTTTTCTCAAAATTTTGAGTTAATATGTCGAAATTTCGAGATAATAACTCGAAATTTCGAGAAAATAACTCGAAATTTTGAGTTATGGATCCTTTTTTTTTTAGTGGCGGAAACGGGCTTCCATAAATACTGGCTTTTATCACACTTGTTCATAGTTTATTAAAGCTGCACTAAGTAGCCACTAATTGTGCTCATGAAAAAAAGGAAATATATATTTGTACTGTACTGTGCACAACCCCGGAGCCACCCCTCACTTCTTTATATTTTGCTAGGAAAGTGGAAATTTGGGGCCGAGATTTATTGAAACGTACAAAAATTCCTGGAAAATAGTGTAGATGAAAATAACTCTAAAAAGCTTGGAATGTCCACCTTCAATCACCAACACAGCCTGAACTCTGTTAGGAAAGCTTTCTTTTAATTTCTCAAAGAAGTCAAGCCAAGCCAGTTTATTTATACTGTGCACTGAAACACAACAGACACTGAACAAAGTGCTGTCACAAAACATGGTTCATTCCTTGATATAGGTGATTTTTTGTTGTTTTGTTTGTTTGTTTTCCATTAGTAGGTCAGTGTTAAGTGGTTTAACAAACAAATAACATTCTTCTGAAAATGTTAAGGTACAAGAACTGGACTGAAAATCATTTAAAAGACTTTAAGAGAACTATTGCTCAAGACTGCTTTAAAAAATTACCAGAAAGTCTGGTTTCTTGGAAGCAAAATATAGGGACATAGGAGTGGCTCAAGACACAGCACTGTAAAGTTATTTAGATTTGGAGAGAGATTATGAAGCAAAACTAAAATTTAAAAACTGACTAAAAAGATTCATCTCCACTCCCACCTACACGTGGCCTGTAAAAGGCCCTGTAAGCTTAAAATAAAAGTACATGCTGTTTATTGTGAATAGAAAAAACGGATCACGTGCATTCTGGGGCTTGAAGTCCAAGTGCAGCCGCGAAGCTGAAAGAGATTCCACTGAAGAAATACAAGTCCCATGATGCCTCAGCTGTGACTGCGCTCTTAACACCTGATTGTCAACAGGGCAGAAATGTCTGTGGTTAGCGTGGAAGACAGGCGCTCAACGATGGACAGCGAAGCGAAAACTTCCTCTGTATCGAACAGGTATAGAGTTTGTAGATTGCTTCGGAAACCTTTGGTATTATAGTACATTATTATGACGTTACTGGATGCATTTTTTTTTCATCTTATCCTGGCAGTTGGGTTAAGCATCTTTACGGAAACACGACCTGTTACACTGTACGTCCCAGTGGTACAGTAATTAATATATAATACGCCTGATAAATGTAACAGCAGTCTAGAAGTTACAGTATAATTATTAGTTTATTATAAATATAATAAACCCGAGGCCTGCTTTTTGAGTCTCTCGTTTTGTCCACTCTCTCTCCCTCTCTTTGGCTTTACGATCTGTCATCTTATTTTACACGAGGTTGCCTCGTAGCTTTACTTCATTGTAATCTTCGGAAGCGAAGAAATCACATCAAACACGTCTTTACCAAGCAGTCACTGTTAACTGAAACATGCTCACCTATTTTAACGTGTAATGGGAATCGCTAGAGAGAATTGGAGAGCTAGCTTAAAGCAGAGAAAGTGGACTAAGAGAGCTTTCTTTTAGCAGAGGTGGAAAGCACGCGCCTTGGTGTTTTCTGGAGGTACTGCGGCGTGAGTAAAGCGGGTATTTCTGGCAAATGTCATCTTCCTATGGGATATATAAGGTAACGGAACAGAATAACATTTGGGTTAGGTGACTAAGACTCAAGCTGAAGCACTTGGTCCAGTTGTTTGTCAGCTGCTGGTCTGCCTTAGATGTTCAATACCTCGTTATTCCACAAGAGGGCGGTATCGTATTGGTGTGTCCGCTGAGAGAAGTTCCTGCTCTTCTAGACGTCAACCTTAGTGGCTCGCAGGCTTTAAAGTTATACTCACATTATTAAATGTATGACCGCTGATATTAATATAGTTGTATGACAGAACTCAGTTGGTCACTAAACTATAACCTAACACAGAGGCACCATAAACTGTTAATTGAGGCAGTCAAGAGCTCTGCAAGGCAAAGGTTCTATGCACTGCAACCTCCCTTTATCACTGAATATATTTGATTTTATTTAAATTAGTAAGTAAAGTCAGCATTACATGCTGTTACTAATACGTTTAGCTTATATTATAGTGTGTTTACAGTATTAGTTTTAGGTTAAGTGTTATTTCAGCCGAGACTTTGTAAGCCTCCTGTGCATCACTGTCGCCATAGCGAGATGGCTGAATGTTTGGCATAGAAACCAGTTCAGGCTTCTTGTTTCGATGTGGCTTTCTTGCTCTGCAGCTGTCCTCTCGATGAAGATTAAAGCGACAGTGACACTACCAAACCATTACAGTTCAGATTAGAGGAGAACACTCAATTCTCTTTCCCCTGTTGGTTCCCTGTATAATATAAAAAAGTGAATAAAGAGAAATGAAGTCTGGTCAGAATCCATGTTCCAAAATATTTGGAAAAGCTTTCATGTTGCTTTGTATTATATCTAGTAGCTTCTCTAAGCTGCTTGATTGTTTTTCTGTGCACTGAAAAGCAATTAGTCCATCTCCTCTGAACTCTGAGCATAATGATTTGTTTGTCTGTACAAGTTGTGGCTAGGGAGGAGTGGAATGGCGTGCATGTGTGTGTGTGTGTCTGTGTGCGTTTCCCAGGGCTGTTCCCCAGACCGTCAGCTGATAGAGCAGCAGTGGTAGTGTTGGGTTTCATCATGCTGTTTATTCCCCAGTCTTCACTGTGAGTGAAAACAGGGAGGGGACTTTGCTCTTCGGGCATGTGTGTGTGTGTGTTTGCTGTGGTGCTGACATCTCTAGACTCGGTATAAGGCACACAGAGGCACTGTATGTCCCCACAGGGTAAAAGCACATCAGCTCCCCTCTACCCTTCCCCTCTGTCATCCCCGCACCCCCTTCAATTTCTCTTCACCTCCCCAACACAGCCTGAGGCGTCTCTGTTGTGAATTCAGCCAACTGCATCAACATCAGAGGAGAATAATCGCTGGCTGTGTGACTGCGCCGCACTCTTGTTATTTATTTCTTTGTTTTGTCTTGTTTTGGGTTGTTTTTTTTCCACCCTCTAGTTTGTTTCTTCTCTTGTCGCTCTCTTCTGGTTCCTCTTTCACCTCCGGCCACATACTGCGACACTGACTGCCAAAGACAGATGACCCAAGCTTGGCATGTGTCTGTGTGTTTATATATGTGGGTGTGTGTACCAGGAGTGGTGTGGTCTGGTTCTAACCCGGTGCTATTAATACACCCTAATGAACATAATCTGGAGGGCAGGTTATCCTCTTATGTTTGTTGGCTGGGCGTCTAATGGGAGGAGCAGCGAGTTAGTGAAAGAGGAGGGAAATGCTGTGCTGTAGTTTCACACTGAGTGCGCCTCCTCTACCAAGCTGCAGTGCCTTCTCTCTCGCTCTGTTGAGAGAATGGAAGAAATAGAAAGCTAAGCAAATGTTTAAAGTTTCGTTTCTCATCCAAGCCGATTCCCATGTATATTAACCACCTTCTGTCGCCACCTCTCTGGATGTGATGCTCCAGAGAGGAGCGCTGTTAAGTGTGTGTTTGAGTGCATATGAATATGTACACTGAGTATACCGGCTGACAATAGTATAGGATTAAAACACAACTTTTGGAGTACAAACACTGGAAGCTTCCCAGTTATGAACACTCTACCAGCTTACTCAGGAGCTAGAATATCTGGCTGTTGGACGCTAAGATCTGATGGCAGGTAAGTGCATTTTATTTCCTTTAATGTACTCCTTAGGTGACCTGGGCAACTTTATTCCTGTCTGTAGTTTAAATGTCCTTAAAATGTGTACAGCTAATGCTTTTAAAAGTCTGGATAAACAGGAAAGACAACTCCAAGTTGAAGCTCACTTGTTTATACCCTCTAGGTTTTTGTCTACATACTTTAGGAAATGTGGCACCTTCTAAGTGCAAACGTGATGTGAGGAACCGTAAAGTTTTTTTTAAACTGAGAATTTTACACTGACATTACAGTAGTGTTACGTACTTGTACATACTCGTTTTTTATGAAATCTTGTTGGACAAATGAACAAGCTGATGTGAAACAGTAGTCACTTTATGCAGCTAGGTTGTGTTAATTTACTCTTTGTGTGAGCCATTGTGGAGAAAGTAAAGAAAAACATGTCGCTTTACTGACATTAGATGTGACGTTGCGTCTTGATTTGCTGCTAATATTATCTTTCAATCTGCTGCCCATAAGGCTTAGATGTCTGCTTCATAAGGGCCTTCTCAGGTACCCCACACTATAACTTCTTATCACAAAGGTGCATTCATGTAATGTTTTGAAGCACTGGGTACTGTAAGTGTAACCACAGAACAAGGACATGATTCAGCACAGTCAGCTAAGCTAATCTTTTATTGCACACTAGTTGGGTTTTAACTGATAACCATACTTCAGTGAGCTATGTCCTGCGCACGCTCTCAGCAGTCTCCCACTCTGCTCCCTGGCTCCGTCTAACCAGGTGACCCTGGTGAGATAAGATAAATCTTTGTTCTCTCTTGTTTGCTCCTCTTCTGAGCTCCTGGCAGTCCACCTGGGCAGGTATATGACCTATATAAATGTGTGGAGCCTGACAGTTGACTGGAAAACAGAGGAAGATCTAAGACTTGTTTATTACAAACGCCGCTATAGTTATGGCCGCTGGCTTTTTACAGTCTTCACTGGGTGAAGTGTGGATGGCTCGGATAATGCAGTAAGTGTTCCAACTGTTGCTCAGTTAGGCATACCGCACACAGATGTTACGTTGTATTTGTTAAACAATGAACGCAGCAGTTGTTTTCATGATGATTGTGGGCAGCAATCGTTGAGCGACTTTAGATTGCTTCGCTAATCGAGTGGCATTTTCCTAAAAAAGCAATATTTTGTTTATCAAACGTCAGCGGCACAGCAGATTCTTGAGACGCTGACAAAATAGAGTTATGTAAGAAGCTGTTGTTTTAGAGGAAGTAATAGAGGCTGGTCGAGCACCAATCTGCAGTTTTTTCTCTGCTCTGAATTCCAGTTACTCACAACTGCCGAATGATTTGTAAAGGCACAACATTAAACTTAGTCATTATAGGTTAAGTAACTTACAATAGTGAAAGAGTAGCCCATATGTGCAGCTGTTTGCAGTTTAGACACAAAACTCTTGCAATGGGTATTACATAAATTTCTTTCTTAATTTCTTCTATCTTACAGAACAGATGAGAGACCATCAGGTGTAGTTTGAATAAGTCAATGCAAATTCACTCCATGCCTCGCTCGCCTAAGCACCTTGTACCTGTTTTGAATTGGCTTGTTGTCATTTGTTTATGAGGGCCTTTTTATCTTGCTGGTTGTGATGGCACATTCTTGCAGCAATCTTTTCGCTCGTAAAACTGATCACAGGACTATTCGATTAGTTGAATCAACATTTCTCCACTTCTAACATGTTCTGTAGGTGTTTTTAGGTACTGTAACCACCTGCTTTCCAGTGGCGGATACCTGATCCTTTCAATTGGTAAAATACAATGGACTATGAAAACACAATCCATCACTTTGACTCTATAATTCTCTTATGGTTATGGGGAGCTTTAGATGTAATATATTATACCATCTGTACATTAGTACCTGCAGCAGTTACACTGGACAAGACTGGACAAAGTTGACAGGTTGAAAAATTAACCAGTGACAGGAGGGAAAATGCTACACTGCTGTTTTGTTGGTAACTAACTGGGCCGCCTTTCTTTAGTCAATCTGTTCATCCATTGCATGGTTACATGCCACAAACAATGTCTGTCTCTGTGTGTCTAACGTGTCACCGGGCATTAGATACAAGGGGACAACAAGGCTATACCAAATAAGAGATTGCCATTTCAGTGGGACTGATCCTGTATATTACATTGGTATGTTATTGCCTTGATTCTGTTGTTTTACCTCGTTACCTTTCCATGAACGCTCACCGATGTTAGAAGTTGAAATCATGACACAGCACATTCGGGTTCAGTGTGTCTTACTATATACAGGTGGAGAAGATGTGATGATGGAGAATGTTGGCATTATACTGCTACGCAAAAGGTTTTATGAAACCCAGAAAAATGCAGTGACAAGAAGGAAAGTTGATTCCTGTGTACCAGAGAGTAATGTCATGTTTCTCATCTGCAGTGGAGGTGGCGAGGGGTCGCTCGACCGTCTCCTCCCCTCGGTAAGCACAGGCCTCTCGCCCAGGAAAAGGACAACCAGCCAGTGTAAGTCAGAGCCTCCTCTGCTACGCACCTCCAAACGAACAATCTACACTGCTGGTCGCCCACCCTGGTACAACGAGCATGGAACACAGTCCAAAGAGGCATTTGTCATTGGTAAGAAGAATAACTTTCTGTGTTTGACATTTAGACATCATAAAGATCTATGACCTGTCAGAGCCCCAGCTTAGATTAAGTGGTGAGTTTTCATCTAAAGTATTATAAATATGTTCGGATTGTACCTTTAAATTTAGGAAACTAATGAATAATTGTTTATAAACTAACCTTATACTTTGTATAAGTGAAAATTTTTAATGTTTAGAAAACTCAGGGAATGCACACATTAGCATAATTTCTTCCCATATACAGTAGTTGTGGCACAAAGTTGTCATTACCTTATTTAAGGTAAGGTAAGGCATTTTTTTGGCGTATTTGACCATTTTATGAAGAAAAAAGCTTGAGAAACCTAAACCCAGATAGAGATGCACTGGTTAAAATTAGTTGTTTTTCACAAACTGGAGAGTTTCCTCTTTGGCAGAGTGTTTTTAAATACAGGAAAGCCCTGCTATACTAGTGATAAAGGGCATTAACTCACAATTTCTCACTGGATGGAGCAAAGCAGATCCATCCAAGTATGTTAAAGATGGGTGTGCCCTGCTATCAGGAAGTGCTGAACTAATGTGTGAGAGACTTTGTGAAAAATAGGAATAAAGAGAACGTTTATGTTGAAGAATGTTATTGGCTCTGTTTCTGCATGCCTTTTTAAAATAGCCTAAAGCAACCTCACAATGCACTCAAACAAGTCTTGCCAAACTAGTCAAACTACTGATAGCATGTTTGCACCAAGTGAAGGTACACTTACCAAACACTTTATTAGGGCCACCTTGCTGGTACCAGGTTGGATCTCCTTTGGCCTTCAGAACAGCCTTAATTCATGACATAGATTGAAAAAAGTACTGGAAACATTGCTCAGAGATTTTTGTCCACATTGACATGGACTGATTCTTATATAGCGCTATTTTACCTCAGCACTCAAAGCGCTTGTTTTTTTTATTGACATGACAGCATCACACAGTTGCAGATTTGTTGGCTGCACATCTCAAAGGTGTTTTCTCTCTTGCATTGATCTGTGACTGTGGAGGCCATTTGAGTAACTCCTTGTCATGTTTAAGGATCCACTTTGAGATGAGTTGAGATTTGTAACATGGCACATTTTCCTGCTGGAAAATGTGACCACATGAACATGGTCAGTAACAATACTTGGACTGTGGCATTTAAACATTGCTCAAGTCGCTACTAAGGAGTCCAAAGTTTGTCAAGAAAATATCCGCCACATCATTACACCGCCCTGAAGGCAGGGTGGTTAGATTAGATTAGCCTCTATTGTCCTCTGGGGACAAATTTACCTTGGACAAGCGAGGGAAACACATCATGTAAAATAACACACATATGCAAACACTCACAGAGAAAATGTAACTCCAACTCACAGTTTTGTACCTTTTTCCTGAAGACATCAACTCATAATCATTATAAAGGATGTCATTTTTGTCCGTAGTAATTTTAACTATCTTTGAATCAGATTTTGAATTTGGGATCTGAGCTTGACAAAAAGGTTTTCAAACCATGTAGTGATACCATAACAGATAATAGATTCAACAGTTCCCCTAACATCACGCATTTATTCACTCCAAGGTAGCCTTAAGCTCTGAAAACCTCTGACTCTGCCATCTGAACGTCACAGCAGACGTTTTTCCAATTTCCTTTTTTCCAGTTTTGTTGACCTCTGGAAACTGTAGCATCAGATTTTCTGTTTTTGGGTCATCCTCTGTAAAATCTAGAGATGGTTGTGTGGGAAAATCCCAGTAGATAAGCAGTTTGTGAAATAATTACAGTAAAACCACACCTATTAGTCATTTCAACTTTCTTCCCAATTCTGATGAACTTTTTAAACGTCTGCAGATCATCTTGACCATGTCAACTTGCTTAAATTCTTTTGTTTTTGTAATTTAACTGGAAGGAAGTTATTACTCAATGGCTGTTTGTCAATTTTTAATTTCAGGCCTGTGTGGTGGCAGCGCTTCAGGAAAGACAACTGTAGCAAGGAAAATCATAGAAGCTTTAGATGTACCCTGGGTTGTACTACTCTCAATGGACTCTTTTTACAAGGTATTTCTGTGGTGTCTACAAAACCGTATATGTCCTTTTGCATGCAGTGATACATTTGTCACTGTATCTGTGAAGTTGTTAAAGGTTATCTGAATTTTTAAATGTTGCTGCATGTCTAAATAAGTGTTTAGAGTTATAAATAAGACATGTGATAGGTCCAAGAAACTCTGTTCTTATCACTTTTGTCTTGAATGGCTGTTAACCACCCAGGGGCCTAAAGGAAGGCTAAAGAAAAGCGAGACTGAGTGCAGGAAACAGGGTGAAAGAGAAAAGAAAAGATTTCCTTTGGATCCCAGAGGGAAAATGAGAAAAAGAGGTTTTGATTAGAGAGAGAGAAGAAACAGAGTAGATAAAATATAAGGAGGCAGTGCTGAAAACAAGGATGAAAACACAGTGATGGGTGTTAGGGGGAGAGAAAAAGAGATGTAGTGAACAGTGTAGCAAGAGCCATCATTCTTGCCCCCTCTACACCTCCACCCACTCTCTAGTTGTGTAATCCTGTCAAAATCTGACAGCGGCAGATCAGACTGTGCAGAGTTGGAGGGATTTACCAGTGACCAGTGCCGCTGTAGCCCTCAGCAAGTGGTGGTCTGCTCACCACATTTTACAAAAGATTGCCATTTATTTTCAGTTAATCTATGCATTTTTATATTTTGCTTTTTTTCCAGTATAACATTGGTTTATTACATAAATATGTTACCAGTTCATTTGAGAAGGGAGTGTTGCTGTTCATTAACTGCCAAATACCAGGACTGGGTTTTTAATGTTCAACCACCCAAAGGACAGATACGTGCGTGCACATACCACCTCGTACGGACGTCACTGTGGCACATGATGTCCTCCTAAATTTAGGTCCCCAAACTTCTCTGCTCTCGATCAGCGATCTGTGCCAAAGTGTTTTTGCGTTATTATTTGTGAATGCATCATTTGTTTTACTGCAAAACACGTGTGTAATGTTACTTGACTAAGAGATTTTTCTTTTGATATGCAAATATTATTATGTGTTCATGCCATTTTCTTAGGAAATCTTGTAGCATTGAAAAGCAGCATGCAGTGGTGACATACTCTAACTTCAGTATCATGGCAATCCTCAGGTCCTGTCCCCAGAGCAGCAGGCAATGGCTGCCAGTAACGACTATAACTTTGACCACCCAGATGCCTTTGACTTTGATTTGCTGACACACACCTTGCGCAAACTCAAACAGGGCAAGAGCGTGAAAATCCCTGTGTATGACTTTACAACTCACGGGAGACAAAAGGACTGGGTAAGGATGAATGCACAGACCCAAACATTTGGCTTTGTATTTTTAAGTTATTAAGTAGCGTGTCATTTTTGCATATAATCCCTCCTTTTTGTTTACCGAAGAAGGTTTTAATCCTCTTTTCTATAGATTTAGCTGCATTGTAAAGCTGTACATCTACAGATGGTCTCCGACAGATCGCTATTGTGATATCTGTCTACTTCTCTTTATCCTATCACACACAGACATTCACACATTAGTGAGGCAAGTCAGTTTGAGAGCTTACAACGATTGTTGGAATACATGCACACTTAATGTGTAGTGCTTTAATGCCCTCGTTCTCATTTTTGGTATGTAAATTTTATTGTGTTATTACATGTACATGTCTCTGCCCCAGAAAACAGTTTATGGAGCCAGTGTTATCATCTTTGAGGGAATCATGGCCTTTGCAGATAAAGAACTGTTGCAGGTAAGAGAAGGTCATTAGCCCTGAACAAACCAATACAAGGTCCTACTGTCAGCTTTGTTGTCAAAAATATGTATTACCTAATAAAAAAACACTCTTAGAAAACACATACAAGTGGTGTAAGAGGTCTTTATTAAACAAGAGGTAGCTGTTTATTTTTCCCATGTTGTGTACATAGACAAGATTTGCAGGTTTTTAAAATAGATTCAGCATATGCATGATAGCCCAAGATAAGTAAATAGATTGAAAAGCCTGATATGTTTGTATGCACTGTGTGTCAGCTAATATGTGCAGAGAAGTGAATATTGATTTAAAGATAAGAAAAAAATATCTGCAGTACATAGTTTGTCCACTTGAGGGCGCTGACAGGTTTGTTTTTCAATTGTTAAGTGTCATCGATTTAAAAGACGTAATGGTTCTGAATAACTGCAGTATCAACTGCAACACAGTAAAGTTAATGAGTTTTTTCCTTTAAAGGTCTGTTAAAATCAGAAGTCCTTGTAAGCAAAAGAGAAGCAAACATTTTCATTAGTTATCTAATATTCATTCATTTTTCATCTATACTTACATTGACGTTGCCAGAAATATTTTTTGCTGTCAGATCTTTCATTCATTCATTCAATTTTTTTCTAGAATTTCTTGCAGGCTTTCACAATAACCCTTTAAAAATACAAATTTGAATACAGTTTGGTATTTTAAGCTCGCTATTTTCATGTCATCTGTTTGTGAATGTGTCTTATATTACTTTGTGTTGATCTAATCAACTTGTTTTTCCAGTTGCTGGACATGAAGATCTTTGTGGACACAGACTCTGACATCCGCCTGGTGCGCCGATTGAGGAGGGACATTACAGAAAGGGGCCGAGATATCGAGGGGGTCATCAAGCAGTATAACAAGTTTGTTAAGCCAGCTTTTGAACAATACATTGAGCCTACCATGCGACTGGCTGATATCGTGGTGCCACGTGGTGAGTATATACCAACATACTTTCATGTACATGTTCAGTATAGCAGCAACAATCCTAAAAAGATTTAAAATTAAAGCATCGTTTTTATGCTTTCTTTTTTTTCTGGTCAGGAGGTGGCAACATGGTGGCAATCGACTTGATCGTACAGCATGTTCACAGTCAGTTGGAGGAGGTAAGTGAGGTCATGCTTACAGACATAAATATAAATACACACGCAGAAAATCTGTCATGCCACTTAAATAGTTAATTTGGGGGGAGAATTATAACCTTTCATTTGTCCTTTTTCTTGATGGCCTCCGGGTCAGTACATCTAGTTATGTTATTGCATTCATAAGAGGGTGTATGTGCAGGCTCCCCTTCAGTATGTGCCTGTAATTTCAAGGCAGATCACCCCCTCTAGTGGAAAGAAACTTTACTGAGGCTGAATGTCTGTAAGTGCTTTGGGGAAAGGTTTAATCATTAACACTCAATGGAAAAAACTGTTCTAAACTGGTTTTGGTTTTGCTAACTTTCCTAGTAACAGTAACAAACTGTAGTTATTTGGTTCAGAGAACATAAATTTTAAATTGCTTTGTTTTTTTGTCTTCTACTTTTTTCTTCTCTTATGTGTTTATTTGAACACTCAAAAAACTTGACAAGATTTTAAAAAGTGTTTAATTATTAGTCATTTTCTGAATCTACTGCCAAAGCACTTAAAGCAAGAAGGCTAAATGATGTTTTCTGAAATGTGCTCTATGAAAACAGGGCTTCTGTTTCTGTTTTCTTATCATTTCATACTTAAGAAGAAGAATGAATATGAATATAGCCCTTTAAATATGGCATATATGTGTGGTTTAGTGATTTACACAAACAAACAATCCCTGGTTAGACCCTTGGAAGAGACTCAAATCCCTTTGGGGAAGGACATCCGGCTAATGCAGAGCTCCCCACTGTGGTGACCCCTTGTGAATAAGGGAGCAGCTGAAAGTAGCTTCCTCAAATAAAGAAAATATGTCAGGTGGAGCTTGCTGACAGAAATAGGTTTCAGTGTTTTAACCATATTAACCTCTTGCTGTGGTTATTTGTCCTGCATTAATTCAAACCAAACTAATCTCCAGGCATTTAGTTTAGGAATAAATGTAATCACAGTGGAAACATTACATCCTAATACATAATTATGCAGCATTAGTCACACAGCCTTATAAGACACCCTATCTTCATACTTGTCATACACAATGTCGATTGATGGCCTGTTAGACGCACTTTGGGATTAGCTGTGCAACATGCACTAATCACTGGTCACCAAAGGCACGCTCTTGGCTGTCGGAGCACTTTGCCCTACTGTGCAGTTTGCTTTGTTCCCTCACAACATACACACACTGAAACACATATGCTGCTGATGGACTGCTCTCTCACTCTCTCCCCCTCATCACCAAATCCCTCCATTGCTTGCAGCGGGAACTCAGCGTCAGGTAGAGTGGCCTTTATCCTTTATATCGTTCTCTCCTCAACATCTGCCCAGTTCCCCTGCTGCACCAGCTTTTTTACTGGGAGAGCGAGAATAAATGTCAAATCAGAAGAGAGCAAAACCAACCTCTACCTTCCACCGACGTGCTGGCTGCCATGACACGTCACCAGGCGGCATTCTTGTATCTTGTACCCAACCAAATATGGCTAATTAGTGCTCTGTCAGTGGGGACATAATACACGGTTAAGACTCGGTCCACACCACCTCAGAATAAGAAGAAGTGGATCAAAATGTGCGAAAACTGCTGTCAACATTTAAAAGCTGCACTCTGATAAGAAGTTTGAAAGTGGTGTAGTGCAGCCAGCATTCAGTGTAAAGGTGTTGGTTTTCCTTCTCTCTACCTTTTAAAGAAATGACAACTCACACTCTTCCTGCCTTCTGTGTCTAAAAATACACCAATGAGTCAAGTCACTGACCCCTCCTTTCAGCAGCAGCAAGAATAAGAGAGAGAGTGACTACAACTGAAAACGAGAGAGAGGAAGCTCTTGCTACAGCTATTGTTGACTATCGCATACCTCAGCCACAGAAAAAGTTTCCAATACCCTACTACAAAGCGCTGAGTTTTTCCATTGAATGTCGGCCACAGTATCTGAGACAGAGAGAGAGAGGAAGTGAGCTTGGTGTCTGTCTTTAGACACAGGATGTGCTGGGGCCTGTGAGCTGAAATACCAACTTCTACTGTTCTACACAGTGTAAGAGTGACAGCCACACGATAGTTTGTGCACCTCCCACGCATACACGCAAGGGATGCATGGGTACAGATATCAAAATCGGAGCTAACACTTGGTTGGTTTCTTTTTCTCATTGCATTATTATTATTATTATTATTATTATTATTATGATTATTATTATTATTATTATTATTATTACTATTAAATTTTGATGTCATTTAGTTCAAGGACTTTTGACATTTGCAATTCTGGCTGTCACACTTTTCACTGTTCCCGATAATCTTTTCATCCACCTGATTTTATGTCTTTTCTCATTTTTCTTCCTCTTATCTGTTGTTGTTGTTGTTTTTTTTGGTTTGTTTTTTTGTTTATCTGTGTCCGCTCTGTTGTGAAAAAAACCCTCCCCATAGAGGAAACTTCGCTGGGATATGTGAGCAGACATGCTATGATTTCTCTTTTCTTTGCATCTGGCTAATGTGTATCTCAGTGGCATTGCAGTCAGTCTAGTGTGAACAACACTGCATCACTGAGAATTTGTAAAAGCGTGTCTATTCCCCTCAAGTCCAAGGTAGAGCGAGGCTAACAAGGCATTCAGAACTAATATTTATTCATGCAAACATGGGGAAATATTAGAAGTGCAGCCCTACCATGGGAAACTAATTATGCATGTGTTTATATTGCACATTTAAATCTTTTATTTGTATCTGTATAATTATAATTTTCAAATTAATCTATTTTTCCATTATCACGGTCTCTGTGGTGTTGTTATTTTCCACTGAAATACTCAGAACTGGCCCTGTGTGCGCTGCAATTTTGTGTGTGTGTTTCTTCCCAAGCACTCCCATTACAGTGGGTACACTGCCATTATCAACTTTGCTCTAACTGCTATTGAAAAATTATTTGTGTGGGTTTTTTGTGTTATTTATTTATCTGTTTTTGCATGCACACACAGGTCTGTGTGTGTGTTAAAGTGTGTATGTGCACGTGTGTGTGTGTGTGTGTATGACCTTGCACATACTGTACACATGCGTGCAGAGCAGTCTTAATTGCACTGGCTTTCACGTGTTGCACTCATGCGTCTGTCCATCTTTTCTCTTTTCCGCTGCTCTCGGCGTGTACCACCCCCGCGCTACTATTTGTTGCCGTGGTTACAGGGCAGCCCTGGCTTCTGCACACCAGGCCCAACCCCTCCCCCAGACCCTCAGCGTTCTGGAGAGCACACCTCAAGTCAGGGGCATGCACACCATCATCAGGTAAAAGCTAAGAAAGCACATTGTTGTTCCGTTAATAACTGCATTTGTTTTCATGGAAACCTGAACGGTGGAAAGCTGCCGAATAAACCTTCGATCCTTCTTTTCTCGACCATCACATCTAGAAACAAGGAGACCAGTCGCGATGAGTTCATCTTTTACTCTAAGAGGTTGATGCGGCTGCTGATTGAGCGAGCCCTCTCCTTCCTCCCCTCACAGGTCCCAAACACAAACACAAAACGGTTCAATTCAAGTATTGTATTACACTCTTTCTTAATTAAGTTACGTTCTTTATACCAAGGAGGGCATTTAAACAATTGGAAAACTACCACAGATAGAGAGAGGTGTAGGAGAAAGAAAGCATGAGATAACCACTCAATAGAAAGATGCTGACAAGTCACACACGGAGACCGTGCTACAGTGTGTGGCCCTGAAATGGGGAAAAATCTGAAAAGGCACTGATAAATGGAAAAAAGAATCTCCCCATCTGTCTTCTACAAAGAAAATCAGATAGACATAGTGTATTGGCCTGCCACATGAGTATGGAAACTTATCAAGTCACCACAGTGGAAAGTTTCCATATCTTTATCGCAACATTCAGTGTGCATTTCACAAATGCACGTGACCGACAATTCAGCATTCACTGTAGCTTGTCACAATATATTTTCCTCACTGTGATAGACTATAGCATCGTTCTAAAGCTCTTATGATTTTTAATATTATCTCAGGTCCACATAGTGCAGACCCCCCAGGGAGAGGATTACGAAGGCAAGACTTTCCACGGAAAGAGGGTGAGTGAACTCCATTTGCTTCCTGCTATATTCTCTGTGCGTTATTTTTAATTGAGAAAAAAAGAAAAACATTCTGAAGAGTTTTGTCTCGAAACTAAATTGATGCAATTAACCTCTGCTTAATTTTTGTACCCCTCTTTGTTTTGCTTTAGATCACAGGGGTGTCCATCCTGAGAGCCGGGGAGACCATGGAGCCGGCTCTGAGGGCCGTATGCAAAGACGTCCGCATCGGCAAGATCCTCATCCAGACCAACCAGGACACTGGAGAGCCAGAGGTAATAAACCACATTAATGTCACATGCTGTCAAAAACCTATAACCAAAAACAATTTTGGTTATATGAGTTTTTACATTTACACATTTTCACAGTAACCTCCTTTGGCCTAGTTTGCCATGAAGCAGTTGTTTGTAATATTAGAGGTTTTCTATATGTATATATATATAGCTGTAGGTCATATGTGTCACATTTTAGCGTGAACCCACATCCTGTCTGTGCACTATTTTAGCTCCATTACCTTCGTCTACCGAAAGACATCAGTGAGGACCACGTGATTCTAATGGACTGCACTGTGTCCACTGGAGCTGCTGCCATGATGGCCGTGCGAGTCCTGCTGGTGGGTGCACCCAGTTGTTCACAACAATGCCAATGCCTCCTGCGCAAATGAATTGCACATGTAGATCATTTTTCACAGTTGTGTTTTCAATTTCAGGATCATGATGTTCAAGAGGACAAGATCCTGCTGGTTTCTTTGCTCATGGCTGAAATGGGAGTCCATTCTGTTGCTTACGCGTTCCCGCAGGTCAAAATCATCACCACGGCTGTCGACAAGAAAGTCAACGATCTCTTTCACATCATACCTGGAATAGGTGAGCAATGCTGAGGAAGCAGGAAGGACAGGACAGTTTTAAAGTCATTGAAATGTAAAAATAAGCATTGTAGCACTGTATTTATATTTTTTATCGATGTCGTTTATTGTTGTTTTTTAGGAAACTTTGGAGATCGGTATTTTGGAACAGACGCACCGCCTGACTGGAGTGATGAAGACATGGATGAGCCCAGTTACTAAATCAATTGCTGTCAGTTGACTTACTTTTTGAGAGTCAGGGCTGTGCTCCTGGACGATATGAAGACATACCATTTGCCCCCGTATGGCTGCTGTTGAAAAAAAAAAAGACTAAAGAGAAGAAAAATGTTGCTTATTTGTATCTGTTTGGTTTTTTTAAATAATGTTATTTAAATTTGTGTTAAATATATTTTTATTTGTACAGAATGTAATAAGGTCAGAGCGTTTTAGCACTTAAATTGTGACAATCTCTATCGACTTCTGCAGAAATGTTCTGAAAAGATTTTTCTAGCCTTAAACCATGTACTGTGGACGACACAACTGAATGTGAAATTGCATGCGACATAAAAGGAAAAGAAAGAAAAAAAGAAGTAAACTTTTTAAGGTTATTTTTTACCACGCACCTTCCTCACAACTTTCACAAAAGTAAAATCAGAACATGAACTCATGTTGCTCAACTTCCATCGCCATGAGCACTTTCTGAAGGACCATTCAATCGGAAAATGTGTAGGTGTATTTTTTTTTTGTCTCTCTCTTTTTTTTTTAGCTCACTGGTTCACTCTTTTCCTTCTCTGTGGATGCTGACCTAACCAGTTGAAAAGGATGTTGAAAAGCATTTTTCATTATACGGCTTTAAGTGCGTACTTGTGGTGCGTATTTATGCAGAATGTCGCTCATTTGCATATTTTTTTACTATGGATAGTCCTGACCAGTCAGCGAGCAACTCGTACGTCTTTTTGTTGCAGTGAAAATGGGTCATCTTCATTTATGTGAAGTGTTTATTTTAGTCCCTCAGATCCCAATTTATCCCTCCATTATTTCATTTTTTTCAGCAGCCCATCAGATTGTTTGTTCAAAAACGGCTTTTGTGGACATATGAACTCAAAATATCCAAAGGTCACAAAGAGTCCTGATAGTGCCTCATCTTTAAACTGTCACGCTAAAAATGAACGAGATCTGTCAATGCCGTTGCCTGTTTAACATTTCCTTACTGTTTGCTGAAAATGATGCTTTAGTTTGCCAAACACGAGGCGCTTCGCTTCATCCTTGCGGGTATACGAGTCCGGGATATTTGAGGAAAGTTGTCTATAAACTTCTGATATTATAAACCGGGCCATAATTACCATTACACAGTGTTCAGTTTAACAACATTTTCTATTTTTTCACAGTTATTTGCTTTTTTGAGGAAAGGATTCATAAAACGACAAAGGAAAAAACAAAAACATTGCACTGAAACTGTAAATCTGTTCTGTCACATACGCAGCAAGTTCACCTTTAAATATTAATTGTGTGTTAATGTACATTAAATGTGCACGGGTATGAACCGATTGTGTTATGTAGCCTCATTGGGTTTTACTCATCTGCATGTTTTGATTTTAATTCTTTTTGGGACTTTGTTTGGTTTTGTTTTGCTTTTTTAAAATATTGAATAAAAGTGCAATACAACTTTTAAACTGCTCACAGTTTATTTATGCGAAATGTGAATTTCAGAATCTAGTATTCTGCCAGCTCCCACGACTTATCTGAAAATATTCTCCACTCTGGCTGATTAAAATACACCTGCAAAAAACATAAAGCAGGGGGAATATTTCTACCTTTATCAACACATTTCGAGAACGAGAGACACATTACCTACACTCAATGAACAGGAAGGATATTGTGGTTGTCCTCTTCTCATGGAAAGTAACCTTGATATCTTCCATCACTTTCCATAATTATCACTCTGACAGCTGTCAAGATGTCAGCCGCAGTAAAGTGTGATTGACGTGCATTTCATGAGGCTGATGGACAATTACAAATCAGCAGCCTCTTGGGCAGATATCAACACACATGAAGCATCGTGTTTTCTTTCTTTCTTTCTTTTAGAAGGCAGGAGGACAGTCAAAAGACATGCAAGAGATACAAACATCAAGAAGCTGAGCAGCAACATTTGTATACTTGTTTGGTTCTTCAAAATATCAGCCGATTTTAAAGGTTTTCAGCAAAGGTTAAGTAGGCTCTGAAATGAGCTAATATGCTAAACTGGCTTAAATTTGAAACAATCTGGTCCTTTCTGCTGCTTGATCATGATGATGACAAGTGTATTTTAAAAAATCGGCACAGATGTGTTTTATTCCACGTGACTAAATGCTTGAAAACTTCAGATTGGTCCTCTGAATGAAGATGTCAGTGGAAAGTTTACCACCAGCACTGACAAACAGGAAGGTAGTGTGTCTATGTGTGCGTCTGTGCGTGTGTGAGTTGCATCCCCATTGGTAGTACAGAGCATGATGAGGTCACAGCTTGGTAGAGACAGCAGGGGTGGCCGTTAAAACTCAGCGACCTGTGTTTCTTTTTCATCCTCATGTCACCAGCTTCTAACTCCAGGTTGCTGTGCTCTCTTCCTGTGTGCCTTCTTTTGGTCTTGACTTTGAATGAAGATGAAGCTTGCCTCCCTGTCTTGCTTGACTGGGTCTGAGGAGTCTGCCATGTGGGTAAGGACTGCACAGAGGAGACTATGAAAGCTCTTCCACACAATGAGACTTTCCAAAGTTGTTGTAATTACGCTTGAGAAATCGTGGAAAGGAACCGTGTTTTTTTCATGGTTGTTATTTGTTTGGTTAAAGTGTTATCTGGCAGTGAGTGCGTCTGGGTTGTAAATGTTGAAGAGATGGTGTGAGTAGGCCAGCACAGAGCAGTAGCTTAATGCGGAGAGTAGAGGATGAATAATTCAGACGATGAAGTATTTCTGAATCATGTGAAGAGGGTTTAGATTAGTCTGTTGAAGAGGGTAAAGTATTGTCTTTCCCTTTCGCTCCCTCCTTCTCCTTTCACTCTCTCGCTCTGTGTGTGTGTGTCTTCCCCTCCACTCTCCATCTGCATAGTTTATCATGAGAGTAAAAATTCTAAGAGACTGGACTGTCCTCATAAAGTCAGGCCAGGGTGATTTAGTTGTTTTTAGTATGAGTTTTAGTTTGTGCATTAAGCTCCGTTGCCTGAGTGTTTAATTGCTCTCTGAGTGGTTTTAGTGCAAGTTAGCTAACAACAGGGGCCAGATGTGGTGTTAATCTATGGCTGGAGTTTCTGACTGAGAAAAATGGCACAAATGTGAGGCAGATATGTTGTTTGAATGCTTTTCACTGTGGCAGTGTTTGCCATCAGGTTAAAAACTTGTATTCTACCGAAATGAGCTATGATGAATCGCTGTATGCGTCGCTGCTTTAAACACAATAACATATATAGATCACAAGAACAGGAATTAAATTGTGTAACCTCAATAAACTTAATGTGACGCTGTTTCCATTAATAGCTTTTCAAGCGTTTTTTAATTTCTCAGTTTTAGTCTCGCTGGGTGGTTGCCTGTGGCGCCAAAATCACACCCTTTAACTATACAGGTGGCTAACAAATGATTTACTTTTTAGATTTTCAATTAGATCTTTGTTTGGTTTTGCTTTTGGAGTTGCCTTTTGATTTTATTTCATATGCATTTAATAATCCTGCAGGAAATAAGAACAACACCACAAAATGGAATCCAATCGATAAACCTGCTGTACTGAAATTCTTATGTTTAGCTTTAAGAAAAAAAAATCTACCTTTGGGTGATATTTAGTTCAGAGCAATTAGAAATGTTGGTGGTCAAAATATTATTGCTGCAAAATATGATTTCAGCTCTCCACCACGAGGTCATACAGTAGATATTTGTGCCTCCGAATTATGGAAAAACAGCTCACTACAATATCCATCAACAGGTGTATATTTCCAGATGTGTAATCACATGTGGAGTGTTATCATAGACACATTCTCATCTTTTCTTTGTCAAGTAATTTTATTTTTGTACACATTTGCCTTCAGCGTGGACTCTGCATGCGGCGGCTCGCAGAGCGGCCTGAACAACACATCCGGTCCCGCTTTAAATCTTGAGTAGTCCTTTCAAGGACTGTCCAACCTGAGAATGGTGATTATAGGCTCAATCTCAGGTTCGTCAGCCCATGAAATGCTAACTCGCCTCAGCAAAGTATGAGAAGGAACACCAAAAAAAGCCCAAACCTTCCTGGACCGTGCTGGAATTTGGTTCCTGCATCAAGATTTTGAATTACCTGCTGAGGATGCTGACAATCACAAGCTTTATGTCTCTTTATTGCATGGCTAAAAACTGAAAAACACAAAGATCCTTCGTGTTTTCTTAACTCAACGGGAATATTGCAATCTAACAGCAAAGAAACCCCTTACTAAGTTCATTATGAGCTATATTAAAGATGGTTTGACAGGTCACTTTTCCTCAAACAGAAATATATTGTCATAATATTTAATGTTGAGTTAGAGAATACAACAGCTTCTTTCAGTAATTATTAACCAGTAGAGGGAGCAATGTACACAGTAACCAAAAACCAGAGGCTGTTGCTTCTTGTGGAAATTGTATTAAGAATGATAATTTTAATCAAATCTAAATGTTCCTATTCAGTAATTCTGTTTTAATGTCTTCATGAAGTAGTTGTTGCTCTTTAAATGTTGAGGACAAACACTTTTTACAAATATGGTCAAATAGCATTAGACCCAAAGTAAAATATACTCTCAGCATGTTTTATTATTAATAATGTAAGCGCATGTGCTTTCTCTTCTAAAATACTGAAGAAAAATCCACCTCTGATGATCCAGAATGATCTAGAATCTTGTTTGCTCCAATAAAGCAAAAAATCTTCCTCTTGTTCGACGACTTGACATCTCTGTTAACGTTCAAGTTGTCTCCGATTTTTTTAAAGAGAATGCATGGCTGAGAAATGTAAAAGATGCTTTAAAAAACTTGAGAATTATATTTAAAGTGTAAGTGATGCCTGCATATTGTAAATGGGTTGCACAAGCTCATAAAAAAAAATTAGGCCGCACTTACCTTTTTTGCATTATTAATATTTTTTGTCATCAATTCTGTAGAAAAACATTAAAAACACTTTGAATCTGTAACTAAAGTAGAATTATATTTATTACTGTTTTACAAAAAATATCTAACTGTTCCCTTTTCTTTGATTTTGATTTATATAATCGATACAGTGAGTAAAGTGGCTAATATCCCTGAAGACAAATCAGTGCACCAACTCAATAGTTTATTTGCCTGTTTGGCACACAAATGTAGTTCAGCACGTTCTGAATCATCTTGCTTAAAGCAGAAT